ACAACGAAGGCACAAAACAAAAACAACCCCCGTTGATTCACTCATTACCCTTTTCCAACCCCCGTGCACACACCAACTAGCCGCCATGGAGGCTTCGTACAGCCTCAACAATTTGAGGATTTCTCCTTCGACGTCGTTATGCGGGCTACTGTAGACGACCTGTCTTGCCTACGGTGGTGCTTGCGGGTGGGCTTATTAAAGAGCTCAATGCTCTGTCGCAAGTGTGCGAAGGCCATGACTTTGTGCGAGAAATCCCAACGCTGGCGCTGCCGTCGCGTATCATGCAGTTCAGTTGAGCGCAGTGTCAAATCGGGAACTTTCTTTTCAAAGTCAAACCTGCCGATTCGAACCCTCGTATGCATCATGCGACACTGGGCATTGGGACGCCTTGTCTCAGATGTCATCGAAGACTTCGACGTGTCCTCCAGAACTGCCAGCGACTGGTACAGTTTTTGTCGCGACGTGTGCTCGTCCGAGATACTGACTGTGAGCTGCGAAATGAAGGTACCTCTAAGATTTGATACTTACCTTCACAATCGATATATTTATTATGAGATGTTATAGATTGGTGGAGTGGGCTCCTTTGTCGAGATCGACGAAACGTCGCTCAAGAAGTCCAAGTACAATTGCAGAAAGCGGCATCTGGAATGTTGGCGTTTTGGTGGCGTCGACAGAACGACGAAGAAGTGGTTTGCAGTACGGACTTATGAAGACAGAACCAAGCGTACGTTGTCTGCTCTCATTCGAAAACATGTGCGACCCGGTACGTTGATCATGTCGGACAAATTCGGGTCGTACGTGTCTTCGATAGAAGAGTACACGTTAGCTAACAATCCTACCTTGGCAAGGATGGGATACTCCCATCAATGGGTAAATCACTCAGAAAACTTCGTGAACCCTATCAACGGAGCCCACACGCAGTCCGTGGAGGGTGTGTGGGAAGTCCGCGTGAATCAGTATAACTAGGCCATGCGTGGAGTTCATCGAGACCACCTGCCAATATATTGGATGAGTTCATTTGGCGCT